TATTATTATTATTATTATTGATTGTTTGCTTTTTGCACAAGCCCATATGCTGCCCTCTCTAATCTCATCATTCCCACTATATTTCTGGTTACTAGTTGTTGAGGTTGGTTTGATACACTTTTACAATTTTTTTACCTTGCCATTCTTAATTGTTTTAATTAGATTGTTTATGTTATATTATATGTTATTGTGTTTTTAACCATGTTTTAGCTGGTAAATGTTGTATGCTGGGTGTAACGTACTGGCCTACTGTGCAGGGCTGGTGTCTGGTTCCTTAAAGGCTAAAAAGCTAAGCAGCCATGTTCTTAGCTCTGAAACAAAAGGAGGCGGAGTCAACAGGCATCCATTTTGTAAGAACAAGAGCCAAAAGGGGGCGGAGCCAACAGGCAGCATTGAGGGTATATGTCGCCACCTGATTGGTCAATAACCCTGGAGGGAGAAAGTGGGCGGAGCTAAGACAAGGCAAAGAAACAAAAGGAGCCATTTAAAAAGTCAGTTTGGGGTTTGGAGAAGTCAGTTTGGAGTTGGAGTTTGGAATTGTCAGTTGGTCTTCAAAACCAGGTGATGTTATTACCTGAAGGCCGACTCGTATTCGCTTTGTTAATGCTCCTTCTGGAAAAGAGGCTTTGACATGTGGCACAGTTGTACTGCTAAGGACACCACCCTCTGGCCCAATCTGGTTGCTCTCTTGTTTAATTCTTGAAACCACCGCAAAATACTGTGGAAAGTCCTTTGTGATAATCCTGCATACACGCTTTTTTTCAAGCTCCTCCACGCTGTCCAGTTCTACATAAAACAAAAACAGACATAACATTTTTTTAAAAACAGGTAGAAAACATAACTGGCAGGAGATCATAAGTAGACTTTTCTAGGAGGAGGTCCTTCAATACTTACATAGCTTTAAATCATTGGAAAGCTAATAATGCTAAACAATACAGATTGACTGATAATTGAATGATTTTGGCAAGAACTTCTTTATGTTCCATTATGTTCTGCCTTACAACTCCTGGGCAGGGCGCCTCCATGTCCTCACAGCCATTCAGTGAGAGTATTTCAAAGGCCTAACTGCCTGCTGCTGGCCATAGCAACACCCGCGCGAGGCCATAGCAACACCTCTCTGGCCCTGCTCCCTTACAACTCCTGGACAGAGCGGCTCCATGGCCCCACAGACTCTCAGTGAGAGTACTTCAACGGCCTAACTGCCTGCTGCTGGCCATAGCAACACCCCTGGCAAGGCCATAGCAACATCTCTTTGGCCCTGCTGCCTTACAACTCCTYGGCAGTGCACCTTCATGACCCCACAGCCTCTCTCTMTGAGAGTACTTCAARGGTCTAACTGCCRGCTGCTGGCCATAGCAACACCTGCACGGGGCCATGGCAACACCTCTCCGGCCCTGCTGCCTTACAACTCCTGGACAGAGCAACTCCATGGCCCCACGGCCTCTCAGTGAGAGTACGTCAATGGCCTAACTGCCTGCTGCTGGCCATAGCAACACCCCTGGCAAGGCCATWGCAACATCTCTTTAGCCCTGCTGCCTTACAACTCCTGGGCAGTGCACCTTCATGACCCCACAGCCTCTCTGTGAGAGTACTTCAACGGTCTAACTGCCCGCTGCTGGCCATAGCAACACCTGCACGGGGCCATGGCAACACCTCTCCGGCCCTGCTGCCTTACAACTCCTGGACAGAGCAACTCCATGGCCCCACGGCCTCTCAGTGAGAGTACTTCAATGGCCTAACTGCCTGCTGCTGGCCATAGCAACACCTGCGCGGGGCCATGACAACACCTCTTCAGCCCTGCTGCCTTACAACTCCTGGGCAGCGTGCCTCCATGGCCCCACAGCCTCTCAGTGAGAGTACTTCAACGGCCTAACTGCCCACTGCTGGCCATAGCAACACCCGCGCAAGGCCATAGCAACACCTCTTCGGCCCTGCTGTCTTACAACTCCTGGACAGAGCGACTCCATGGCCCCACAGCCTCTCAGTGAGAGTACTTCAATGGCATAACTGCCCGCAGCTGGCCACAGCAACACCTGCGTGGGGCCATAGCAACACCTCTTCAGCCCTGCTGCCTCCATGGCTCCACAGCCTTGCTGCGAGAGTATTTCAATGGCACAGCTGCTTGGCCACAGCAACACCTATTGTGTCTTAATTGTATCACATAAAGACCAGAATGAAGTCCAAAGAAAATAGTGCACAAATCTAAAACAATGATACTCAGTTCTTGTGGGGTTTTTCGGGCTATATGGCCATGTTCTAGAGGCATTTCTCCTGACGTTTCGCCTGCATCTATGGCAAGCATCCTCAGAGGTGAGCATTTCTCCTGACGTTTCGCCTGCATCTATGGCAAGCATCCTCAGAGGTGAGATTCTCACCTCTGAGGATGCTTGCCATAGATGCAGGCGAAACGTCAGGAGAAATGCCTCTAGAACATGGCCATATAGCCCGAAAAAACCCACAAGAGCTGAGTGATTCCAGCCATGAAAGCCTTCGACAATACATAAAACAATGATAATTTGTAAGCCACTCTGAGTCCCCTTCGGGGTGGGAAGGGCGGCATATAAATGTAGCAAATAAATAAATAAATAAATTAGAAACATTTCCATTGTATTTCTAGGGCTATGCGTCTTACACATGTTTGTCCTGTATAAAAACCAAGATTTGCAGAATTAAACATTTTGTATTTGATATCTAGCTTTACCAGCAGATGGGGCTAAACTCTTGAAAATGAAACACTGCTTAATAATAAAATGGAGACGAGAGAAAAAAACAAATTGATGCAAGGTATTTGATTTTAGCGTTCAGAAAACAAAGAAATAGAAATACCGAAGCTGCTCATATATAGCAGGAGGCCAATACCATTCAAGCATATAGTAGTAATTACTGTTTCCACATCACACCATTTAAGGTTGTTTCAGAAATGAATTAAATTCTTTATAGGAAAATTCTAGGTCTTTCCACAAATATGCAAGATATGTAATGTCTGATCTAGCCCATTGCTGTATACTACCAACAGTAGTATTTTAGCTAAACATAGAGGTTTTTTATTTTTATTTATTTCGGGTACTTGTACCCTGCCCTTCTCAACTCGGGGGGGGGGGGGGGGGGTGGACTCAGGGCAGCTTCCAGCCGGCACATATTTGATGCCTACAAGCTTCCGAGCACAATTCAAAGTGCTGGTGTTGACCTATAAATCCCTAAACGTCTCCGGCCCAGTTTACCTGTCCGAACGGATTCTCCCCAATGAACCATCAAGGTTGTTAAGATCTTCTGGAGGGGCCCTCCTCTCGGTCCCATCACCCTCACAAGCGCGTCTGGTGGGGACGAGGGACAGGGCCTTCTCGGTCGTGGCCCCTCGGCTCTGGAACTCTCTCCCATTGGAGATTAGAACTGCCCCTTCCCTCCTGACCTTTAGAAAGTTGGTGAAAACCTGGCTCTGGAACCTGGCATTTGATGAGTGAGTCAATAACCCTTGACCACACGGACGGATGGTGATGAATTATGATTTTATTCTGATTACTTGGCCTTATGTAATTATATGATTGTATTTTAATGTGTTTTATATAGAGTTTTATAGGATGTGATGTTTTAACTATTGTGTATGAACTCCTCTGTTGTAAACTGGCCTGAGTCCCTCATCGGAGGTGATAAAAGTTCTAAATAAATAAATAAATAAAATACAACAAAACACACATCAAAACAATAATTATAAATAGTTAAAAACATTAGATTAATACAATCATTTCATCATGCTAAAAAAGCAGGATTTACAAGAAAGTCTTTCTTTTTAACAATATGCAAGTCGACTTCAATGTATGGCTACCCTATGAATGAGAGATCTCTAAATCATATTATCATCAACAACCCTGTTTAGTTTCTGAGACTTAGAGCCATGGCTTTCTTGATTGAGTCTCTTCATCTGGAATATACTTTTCTTATTGCCTTCTACTTTACAATGCACTATTGTCTTCTGAAGATACTGCAAAGTACAATCTCAGTTTAGTCATCTTGGTTTCTAGGAAGATTTTCGGTTTGATTTTCTTAGGGCCCATTTATTTGTCTTTCTTTTTAGCAATCCATAGAACCTTTTTCCAAATGAGTTGATTGAAGAATAATTTTCTTCACTGTCCAATTTTCACAATCACACATAGAAATGGGAAATACAATGCCATGGACGACACTAACTTTAGTACTCAATGACATATTTTTACATTTCAGGACTTTTGTCTAATTCCTTTGGAGTTCTCCTTCCAAGTCCTAGATTTTTCCGATTTCTTGACTGCAGCCTTCATTCTGATTAATTACTGAGCAAAGGTATGGGGAATCTTGAATTAAAAAGACTCTTTCAGCAAGTTTTACACATTTGGCATGGGTTTTTATGGACTGCAGCCCACTTCATCTGATGCCTGTATAATTGCCCCCAAGTTGGCAGATCTCCCAGAACGCTGTGTCTCTGACCTCAAGATGTCCATCCTTGTGAAAAGGAACTTCAAAGACAGATTTCAAAGGGAAACAGCAGAACAAGAACTATTTATCCTGTCGCTTTTTAACTACATGGGTTAGTCAACTCATCTATGCAGAGGTGTTTGTATTACAACCCAATTTTGATTTTTAACTGAAAATTCATCATTTAGGCAAATTTCACTGCCTGTAATTTTTGCACTCATAGTCCTCTTGAATAAAATTTCCTACTCACAAAAAGTCATCTACAGCATAGGTGAGCAATTTATAAATCCATGAACCACATATGCCTAAGAGGGTCACAGCCTTGCTAAAATGTTTCATTGTCTTCCAGAGGACATGGGAATTTTTTACCACATTTGTTGGCCTTTTTAAAAAACACCAAATATTTTTTCCAGTTTTTAAAACATAGTTCTATTGGTCTAAAACAGCTTGGAGAGGGGATTTGGAAGAATTGCAGCCTATGGCTTTAGATATGCTTGTGTGTGTGTGTGAGCTTTTTTGTGAAAACAAAAATGAGGTGGGATAGACACGGGCTCACAAGTTGCACTTTGTTCACCTTGTGATCTGGAGATTAAATTCTCTTTTACTTGGAAATAGGCAAAGATTTTTTATCATCATACCTGAGTTTATCTGCTTATCTATGATCTATCATACTTCCCAACTATGTTTAGCAGAGCACCTGATGAGCCAGCCTGGACACAGCATATTATTTGAGAACACAGAAATGCTGGACCACACCAACAACTACCATGTCAGACTACACAGAGAAGCCATTGAAATCCACAAGCATGTGGACAAATTCAACAGAAAGGAAGAGACCATGAAAATGAACAAAATCTGGCTGCCAGTATTAAAAAACTCTAAAATTACAACAGCAAAACAGCAGAGAGGAAACAACCAGGCACATCTTAACACCTCTCAACAAAAGATTTTCCCAGGCTCAGCCAGGCCTTCAAATGCTAATGAAGGTGGTCAGTTGAAACATTCACACCTAGCTCCAACAGACAAGAGTTCTTTGCCCCACCCCAGCCATTCCACAGATATATAGACCCATTGTCCTAATTCCAACAGACCTCACTACCTCTGAGGATGCTTGCCATAGATGCAGGCGAAACGTCAGGAGAAATGCCTCTAGAACATGGCCCTATAGCCCGAAAAAACCCACAAGAACCTAGTGATTCCAGCCATGAAAGCCTTCGACAATATATGGTTTGTTAAATAACCACTATTAAGATATGATCAACGTTTGAATCTTGCTGGAGTTGCAAGCCATCTTGAGTACCCCTACGGGGTTGAGAAAGAGGGGATATAAATGAAGCTAATAAATGTTAGTAGCATGTGCATTTCTGTCACTCCACATCCCTCCTCCAAGTCAGTCATGAGTATCAATATCTGTCAAATGAGGCTACAGTCCACACATCTCAAGTGGATTGCATATGAGGTGAGGATTCTGGAAGTTGCAGCCCAAAAAGGAACTATCTAAACTCTATCATGAAGTAACAATTCTGAAGTTACATGACCATCCTTTAACTCATCTCTACAATTAATGTATGGATAATATGAAAATTTAAAAAACTTTTTTGATATTACATAATTGGTTTGTTAATGGAAGGATTATATTTTTGTGTGTGCCAGTAGAACTGATATGCGTGGTTCTAAAACAGATTTCCTCAAGAATGTGTGAAGCCTAATGGAACTGGTGCCATTGGTCCACCCAACCTAGCCTTATTAACACTAATGGGAAGAAACCTTTTAGGCAGGAGTTTTTCCAGCCCTACCTAGAAATGTCAGAGGTTGACCCTGGGAAATTCAAGGGTTAAAACAACTACCAACCCTAGAAACACTGTGCAGCTCAGCTTCCATATTTTATAATTTCTAGAAGTGGGTTGTTGTCGGGTTTTTTGGGCTATATCGCCATGTTCTAGAGGCATTTTCTCCTGACGTTTCGCCTGCATCTATGGCAAGCATCTTCAGAGGTAGATGAAGGCGAAACGTCAGGAGAGAATGCCTCTAGAACATGGCCATATAGCCCGAAAAACCTACAACAACCCAGTGATTCCGGCCATTAAAACCTCCGACAATACAATTTCTAGAAGTTCAGTTATAAACACCTTATTACAATCAACAACCCCTTTGATTTAACATGGTCACCATATGGCACAAATGGAAAGGCAAAATATTTCTCTTCTTCTTTAATCTTCTTCTTTAATCTCACTATTATTTCCTTCATTATATTTACCCACTATAAATTTCAAAGATATAAATCATAGGAGCAAGAAAGTTCATACAGATTTTTCAACAATACCAAACCAATGCAAGGAGACTAACTCACATTTAAAGGATTGATACAACATCAGCCCAGACACATCTAGCCATATATTTAATGTCAAAACTAGACATATTAAAAAAAAGTTAAAATACCTTTAGATTAATTTGAAACTATACTATTTAACCCAACAAGAATATATCAATCTATGAAGTAATGTTAGGGACAATGCATTAGAAATCACTATGTAAGGAGATATTGTAGCACTTGATCTAATGGATGGAGCCCCTCACCAGAAATCACACAACATCATGTGACATATAGAGGGGGCTCTGTCCCCAACATGGGAGGGTTCCTGTGTTGTGCTGGCTCCGCACCGCACTGAGAAGAAAGCTGGAAGTGTAAGCTTTCATAGACTTATTCCAGACAAACATGGTTACATCTCTGAATACTAAACAAACTTGGTTTATAGGACTTTCACTTGGAAATTCCCATTAGAACCATTTCTTCATACACCAACAAAATATGTTCAAAGGCACACACAAGTGAATCTAACATTGCTCATCCTCAACTATATGAACAAAAACCTACATAGTATTTTTGAGGAACTTTCATATTCACATACTTTCACACACATCAACATGTTAATGTCCATAAGCTGGAGATTACTGAAATTAAGTATGAATAATAATAAGCAATCTCACTAACCAAGTAATACACTATGCTCTAGGAATATTTCTCCTTTCAATCTTTACTATCCTTTAGTCTAGAAATTTAGTAAAAAAATGAACTCAAAAATTTTGGACCAATATTTGAATACTGTATACTATAATAATACTATAATTCCTATCAAAAATGGAACCACCCCCTTCTCTGAGTACAGCAGTGAAAAGTAAGAGCTAGGTCCACCAAGGGAAAACCTAAAAGATGCACTGATGGCCTCTACTCTCGCTGCCATATCACTGCTTCTGCTCTTTTTAAATGTTTAGGTGAGAAAATGGCAGTGACAGCAAGGGTGACTGGCTCTCTAAGGCATTAGTACCTCCCCTTCTCTACAGAATGGCCCTCAACTTGTCAATGCATCATATAAAAATCCATATTTTTGGATCCATGATCTGCCCTTGACATGTACACAAGTGTGTGAATATGAAAAAGTTAAAAGACCTTCCTAATTACTTTATTTTCCAGATCACTAGACTGGGCCACAGCAATGTGTGGCAGGGGATGGCTAGTTATATTAATAAAGATGCTTTGAATGTGGTTTTCCTGCTTCTTGTCAGGGAGTTGGACTGGATGGCCCACAAGGTCTCTTCCAACTCTGTAATTTTAATAAATTAAGGACTTATGTCTGAACTGTTATTTCTCCAGTAGTTCAGTAGTAATTACAAGGGGATATATTCACCTTCATTCATTCCATTTAGAATCTCTGTGAGATTTTCATGCCTGTTGTCGAATTGATGTTCCTTCCATGTTTCCCCATTTTCACTTCGAAGCACTATCAGCTCTCGTTCCTTTCCTCGCATTGATCCGAAATGTGGTATTTCTACTATGACGGGGCTACATCAAAGAAAAGAAGAAGAAGAAGCCATTCATATTGTACATGTGTTATTCAGTTTGCTGAACACGTCTACTCGCAGGTCACTTATGTGTCATACAGTTAACAAGCACGCTTATGGGGGTAAAATGGTTAATAACTGGCAAAGCTACAAAACCCTTTCCAATTCAAATTGCAAATGACTGTTTCAGTGATCAATTACACACTGAGAAAAGCACACACAAGAGTGCTGACATACACCAATTTTCACAAAAATAAAGAGATTACAAAAATACATATATGCAAATAAAAAGAAAGGGTTTCAGCAGGCAAGCCGATCCTGTGCTTGGCTATGCATACACAGTGCCATGTACATTCAGGGCTGTGTGTACTCAACACTTTCAAAGGTTAACGTTCTGCTGTGTAAAAAGAAATTAAATTCGGTGCCACAAAAAGCTAGATTCTGCAACTGGTATAAATTATGCAATTGAAATTAATTTGGCCAAAGTTGTTTCAGTTTGCTCAAGCTACTTCTGCTATTTACAAGAAGATCCAAAAAACCTCAATTGTTAAAATTCTTATTGAATGACCCTTTGCCTTTCTTTTGAGACACCAGCAGAATCTCTTTCTTTCCCTCTTACATTGTTTTCTCCCTCACACATACAAACACATAGCCCTTTAGATATATAACTTTATGTTCTCTGGGCTGCATGTCTGCAAAGAAGTCAAAAAAGAAAATCCAAAAAATATTTTGTACCGTGTGATTGATATACATGATAAGGAAATGCCAATTTATGCGGTTGATATAATATTGGGGGGAGGGGGGTCACGTTTCTGCTCCCTTCCTTGTAATATAGATCTTTTAATGGAGAATTGCAAGGAGACATAGATATCAAAGGGTATTTAAGATCCAGCCCCTAACCATGGGAGCTTGTATTATTTTTCAGTCTCTTCTACATAGCTACAAGGACTTAACATTTTTTTTAAAAAGGAGGAGGAAGAAGCATTGGGAATATCGGGAGACCAAATATACCAAATATCACATCCTGCCTGTTGTGCAGAGTCACAGAATACACACAGCCCTTTAAAATCTGTATCAAAGGGTGATACGCCAGCATAGGCAAAGACAAAGTTAGATTCGAAGGCACAGAAGAGACACAGTCAGACTTAAAAGGCGGGGAATAACCCTTGACATGCCACTTTAACATTGACTTTCATGGAAAACATACACCATTCTCCAGCATAACACTGACATTGAGGTTTTCATGTAGATGAAATAATGTAAAGAAAAATGAACACAGGGGACCTAATGAATCATGAGCAGTACCGTCCTGATACATAACACTAGGAACCCAGCTCACTGCATTCAAACGGACCTACTTTTTCTATAACTTGAGCCAAAGGACATCCATTTTCCTCTTCCTCCTTTTGTGTAAATTCATGTTTGTTTCTGGGTTTATCATATTTTATTTATTTATTTGTTGTTTTATTTATTTATCTGTTGTTTAACATCTATATGCGACCACTTGCTCAGCTGGTTCGAGGTTTTGGGCTTGAGTGTTACCAGTACGCTGATGACACTCAGCTTGTGCTGAAGATGGAAAGCCGACCAGACTCTGCACCCGATTGTTTCCATCAGTGCCTCGAGGCCGTTACTGGAGGGCTTGAGGGTGAATCCAGCAAAGACGGAGATCCTATGGCTGGGTCGACTGGGCAGTGGGGATATCCAGCTGCCTACCCTGGATGGCGAGGCACTACGCCCGGCATCATTGGTAAAGAATCTGGGAGTCCTTTTGGACCCTCTGCTGACGATGGAGGCCCAGGTCTCCGCCGTTAGCAGAACCGCCTTTTTTCATCTGCGGCAGGCTAGACGGCTGGCCCCCTACCTGTCCAGGGACGACCTAGCTACGGTGATCCAGGCTACGGTCATCTCAAGACTGGACTACTGTAACGCCCTCTACATTGGCCTTCCTCTGTTGGTGATCCGGTAGCTCAAGTTGGTACAAAATGCAGCTGCTCGGCTTCTTGCGGGAATTCCGATGAGATGCCACATAACACCAATCTTACTGCAGCTGCATTGGTTACAATTGAGCACCGGATCACTTTCAAAGTGATGGTACTCACCTTTAAGGCCTTGCATGGTCTGGGGCCGATGTACCTGAGGGACCGCCTCACCCCCTACCAACCCCAGAGATCCCTCCGTTCTGAGGACCAAGATCTATTGGAAATTCCCAGTGTCAAGACCTTGCGTCTAACAGCAACCAGACGCAGAGCCTTTACAGCAGTGGCACCATCACTCTGGAATACTCTGCCACCTGAAGTCCGTGCCTTGCGGGACTTATCAGCTTTCCGCAGGGCATGTAAGACATACTGTTTCGACGGGCCTTTGATCTCTGATATTGCTGTTTTTAAATTGTTTTAAATTCTTTTAAAATTGTGTTCGATTTTAGCCTGTTCTTGTAAGTTGCTCCGAGCCCCAGGGGAGTGGCGGCATATAAGTTTGAATAATAAATAAATAAAAATATTTATTTATTTCCTATATTTATATGGGAAAATCTATGCTAATGGTTATCAAATATAAGCTGTAGTAGACCTAGCCTTATTTAGAATGTATTAATGTCATATTTATCCCTCCAACAAAGAAGAATCCCAGGTTTCAAAATTGATGCAATTACCTAGTTGGGACATATCTAAGAACTAGAACGATATAAGTAAAAAATAGTAGAACTGCAAGGTTGTTTCATTCTGGTGTAATGAAGTGTAGGTATAACATTACACAAGGGCATACCAGAACAGACTATTTGCCCATTTAGCAGAGTCTCAGGTCAAACTACAAGAGAGGAGATTCCATCTGAACATGAGGAAGAACTTCCTGACTGTGAGAGCCGTTCAGCAGTGGAACTCTCTGCCCCGGAGTGTGGTGGAGGCTCCTTCTTTGGAAGCTTTTAAACAGGTGCTGGATGGCCATCTGTCAGGGGTGATTTGAATGCAATATTCCTGCTTCTTGGCAGGGGGTTGGACTGGATGGCCCATGAGGTCTCTTCCAACTCTTTGATTCTATGATTCTATCACCTGGATTATTTAACTGGAGATGCCAAGAATGGATTCTAGGGACTTCTGCATTGTCACAAGAAGCGTGATATTTTCTACATTCACACAGGAATATACACAAGACCTCCCCATATGATGGGCAGACATTCAAGCTATCTAGGCTACCAGAAGACCAGGTCTTCTAAATTTTCCTAGGGGCAACCAGTTTTATTGAGAGCTGCCTGGTCCTTTAATACTTGTGTCTGTTTGATCCTCAGAATCAATGAAGGGCAGTGGTGAGATGGCTTATCAATGACATTGGCATTTTCCCAAGTCATCTTCTCAGAAGGACTGAATAGACACAGGCATTAAAAACTCTGCTAATGACATATCTGTCAAAACTCAATAGGACCTTGTCCAAGGATGATCTCTCAGTGGTTTTCTTCTCTGATACATGAAGCCTTTGTTGTTTTTTTTCTGGCAATGATGTAACACTAATGTTAACTGTGCTTAAATTCATACAAGAATTTGCAACCAAGCAGGTTTTCATATTTAGGCAATGGAGAATATTTGTAATGGGCCAGATTTGACAGGAACGATTAACCAACTGCGACTGTACCTCGTGAAGGCTGATCTGGCCGGGGTGGTCCACGCCTTTGTCACCTCCAGATTGGACTACTGCAATGCACTCTACATGGGGCTGCCCTTGAAAACAGCCCGGAAATTCCAACTGGTCCAATGGGCGACGGCCAGGTTGTTAACTGGTGCTCCTTACAGAGAGAGGTCAATCCTCCTGTTTAAGGAGCTCCATTGGCTGCCGTTCATTTTCCGGTCCCAATTCAAGGTGCAGGTGCTTACCTACAAAGCCCTAAACGGTTTGGGACCCGCCTACCTGCGTGACCGCATCTCCGTATACGAATCCACACGATCTCTCTGATCATCTGGAGAGGCCCTGCTCGCGATCCCACCTGCGTTGCAAGCACAGTTCGTGGGGACAAGGGACAGGGCCTTCTCTGTGGTAGCCCCCCAACTCTGGAACTCTCTCCCCAAGGACATCAGACAAGCCCCAACGCTGGCAGTCTTCAGGAAGAGCTTTCCAGAATAGGAAGCCCCTAGCATCATGTCCCAAATGCACTTTACTAGAGATTTAACATTGTCTACACACCGCACCTACCTCTAAAAACCTATACATTTCACCTGTCATGTCCAGCACTTTTAAATTTTATTCATTACATTTGGCCTGGCCTTAGTTTTAAATGCGTTGTGGTGTTATTGTTTTAATGTTTATTGTTATTGCTTTAATTTTTAGTGTTGCTTTATGAGTTTTATTGTTGTATTTGTTATGCTGTGTTTTATTGAGGCCTTGGCCTTTTGTAAGCCGCACCGAGTCCTTCGGGAGATGTTAGTGGGATATAAATAAAGATAATAATAATAATAATAATAATAATAATAATAATAATAATAATGTCATCTTCTTATTTCTTGGATTACTCTTTTATAGCTAGAGTTGACTTTATTCAGCGTCTTGGGCTCTTCCATACAACCTTAGTATCACAATCTTTGGTCTCCCAAGCTCCAGAAACACTCTTGGGTACCAATTCAAACAAATGAAGTACTCAGTTCTTGTGGGTTTTTTCGGGCTATATGGCCATGTTCTAGAAGCATTTCTCCTGACGTTTCGCCTGCATCTATGGCAAGGTCCTCACCTCTGAGGAAGCTTGCCATAGATGCAGGCGAAACGTCAGGAGAAATGCCTCTAGAACATGGCCATATAGCCCGAAAAAACCTACAAGAACTGAGTGATTCCAGCCATGAAAGCCTTCGACAATAAAATGAAGTACTACCCAATGTCTGATGGTTGGAGGGATGAGTTAATCAGAATAGGCTTGCAGAATTTGTGACCCACCACCAATCAAAATGTATGTATTGTTCCATGTAGGCAACTAGGAGAGATTTGCTGAGTTCCATTAAGGTTCATCCATTTTAGCTTGGC